ATGTTAAGAACAGTCATCTAAAAACTGACGCTATGTTCACTCTGAGTTGGTTATCTCCCCCCCCCCCCCACACACACACCTCACCACTACAATTGTGTAGAGCGGCATTAATGTAACACATAGTTATACACTGGGTTGGATAATTTACCTAAAGTGACCGGACAGTGGTGAATGAAGTTGAACCCACCTCCCCCCCCCCCCCCCCCCCAACCCACCCCGAACTGATCTGTTAAGTACATGTAGAAAAACGCGTATTGATGTACCAAAGTACCATGCCGCCAGAACATTAGCTTGTTAAACGTAAAACTCTGTGAATATTGTTTTTTTGCAATTACCAGTAAAAAGGTGTGTGATCAATACAGTGATCTAACCCATACCTATCACTATGTTAAAAAATGATCTTTATAAAACACAAAGAAGCAGTATTTAATTAAAAATATATGATCTGAACTAAAAAGACGTATATTTAGTTAAATGTAGGCTGTTATTCCTAGTGGTTTTCTATTATATCGAAAAGCGTAGTTTTATACCAGCTCTGATTTTAAAAACTTTCATTATGCTGTAATACTTTAGCATTTATGATAACGGTATATTAAATTCTGATTATACACAAAATCATTTTGTAAACACGAATAGTGTTAAACATTTTCATTATATTCTAAAAAAAATATTTTATTTGTTTTGACATTTTTAATTAAATGTGTAGTTATATACATATTTATATTAAGAGAGTGATTATTTCCCCTATTTCACTTCTCTTAAATAATTTCCCAGGAATCATTATGTAAGAAATTTTTTTTACAAGAATTTCAAAACAGATTGTGTTACGGTCATTGTTTTTGGTTGTAGTGTATATATATATATATATATATATATATATATATATATATATATATATATATATATATATATATATATATATATAATGTATATATATATATTGTTTACATTGATACAATTTTTGTTTTGTCGGCTACATTGTGTGTTTTTTCTTATTTCTTTAGAGTGCTACTTTCAATTTATTTTACATCATATATATATATATATATATATATATATATATATATATATATATATATATATATATATATATATATATATATATATAATACACGTATATAGAACGTGCTAAAAATTCGGCGCCTTTTTTTGCTCTTTTCGCTCCCCCTACAACGAAAACCTGGATACGCCTCTGATTCCCTTGTAATATCTGATACGCCTATTTTAAAAAAAAAAAAACCTAAACAAACAGTGAAGAGTTAAGCTTGCGTAAGACTTGTTTGTCAAAGTGTCATCTAAGTAAACTCGCATATTAACCAAGAAAATGTCTACCCGCTGGGAGTGATGGCCTACGACAGGGGTGGTCGGTGCAGGAAGTTGTTTCTTTTTTCCGTTGCCTGCCACCGGAAGTCGACAACCCCATTATAACCAGCTGTTCGCTGCTGAAAGTAAACTAGAGCTTTCTTTCTTCTCACCTTGGCCTTCCCAGTCTTTATCAGTGGTTCTTAAACCGAGTTCTTATGCCCCCAGAAATTTACGATCAGTTTGGTTTTGTACTTGAGTATATTGTAACGATGAAGTGAACATTTGACTTCAGTTTATGAATTGAGGCATGTGTTCATAGGCAGACACAATGTCATTGTATCACAGAGGCGTAGCGAGGGGGCGGGGGGGACATATGTCCCCGGGCGCCGACCTGAGGGGGGGGGGGGGGGGGGGCGCCAAATTGAAAGTTTGAGAGGGGGGTGCAAATGAAAAGTTCAAGGGGGGGGTGCTAATCGAAAGTTTGAGGGGGGGGGGGTGCAAATCGAAAGTTTGTCCCCGGGCGCCGGGAAGGGTCGCTACGCCTCTGTTGTACCAGGGTAGTGGATATTCAGTCAGTATGCATACTTTCTTACGAAGCCCAAGACAAGGGTTAAGACAAGGTTGATGTTTATAGTCGACGTTGATTTGAAGTATCAAATTGCGTCAGTCCTTTCTGCCTCGAGGCCAAAACTAGGCCTACCAGTAAAATAAATGGGACAAACGCGGTAGACCTTATCTTTTTGATTTATGTTGCCAACTGACAGTTCTAGTTGACCAAAGAAATCGGTGTTTGTTTTTTTTGTACAATACATTCAATAATTAATCCGTATTTTTGTGCCGTCGTCTCCCCTCCCCCCTCCCCTCCCCGAAACTCGATCAACCTTGAACCCAACCAGCCTAACTCCACAACATTACCAGTCGCTACCTTAAGATAAAGTGTTTACTTTTTAGGTGGGGAGGGGGGGGGGGGATAGATCTCTCATCATACTAAAACTAAGTGAATGCCTTTGACTTTCATTGATTACTGTCTTCTGTCAATGCCTCTGTATTTGCTAAACTGCATTTCTCACATGGAGCTGACAATACAAGCCACACACATCAGTAGATCCCTCGTCTATGTAGACATAGGTTAGTTCTAGAAATCTCTTTCAGAAGTGAAGCACTTGTCGTTATTTCGCTGGACGAAATAAACAAAACAAACACCCAGTAGGCTAGTATAACGGACCCAGTGGTCACTAGTGCAGTTCAGGTTGTCGATTTGTTTTTGTAACCACCTCTTGTAGATGTGTTGTTTCGGTTGACTTTTAACTGTTAGGGCTTTTGTATTTTATTTTATTCATTGCTTAGCCTACAGCAGACTACTATAGTGAATCGGTTGGGCCGTAACGAAGTTTATGGCCTTTACATTCACAACCAAGTGCATCTTCACAGAGAGTGCCTGCTGGTCTGCGAAATTAATTGGAATATTTTTATTTTATTTATATAAACGTTGCTTATCTGTTAGTTTTCCCACAGCTCGAATATTTACGCCGTATGTACTTAACGTTTCGAATAAGTTTATTAATTTGTTTTTAAAGTCAGCTCCCCCCCCTCCCTCCCTCCCCACACGCGAGGTCCGCCCTGCGTAACGTTATCGTTAGATTACCTGCAGCACATCACTCTTTCTTCTACGGTAGCTTTAAAAAAAAAAAAATTGGAGCAGGCAATGGAAGTGTTTTTATATAGGCCTAGACTAGCAGCCCTAAAAGTTATCGTGACCGGCTGAATCGGCGAGACTCCTCCGTGTGTAGATTTTTGTACGGGGTGTTGCAGTGGTGGAGCAGTGGTGGAACTGGGGGGAGATGTTCTATGGAATAACCCCTAGGTACGCCGCTGATGAGAGTATACTCTCACTGCAGATACACAAGGCGTAAACAAGGATAATTCTGTAAAGGTGTTTGTTTTAAATTATTTACGGTTTTTTTTTTCTTCACGAGGTTGTATCTGTACGGTGTTAATCTTAGTCTGTATCTGTAGGGCGTTGGGTGTCGTCTGTAAGGTGTTACGTGAAGTCTATACCTGTAAGGTGTTATGCATAATCTGTAAGGTGTTATGCATAATCTGTAAGGTGTTATGTATATCTGTAAGGTGTTATGTATGATCTGCAAGGTGTTATGTATGATGTGCAAGGTGTTATGTATGATGTGCAAGGTGTTATGTATGATGTGCAAGGTGTTATGTATGATGTGCAAGGTGTTATGTATATCTGTAAGGTGTCATGTATGATCTGTAAGGTGTACTCGGTATGTGTCAAATGTAGTCGTTATCTGTCGGCTGTTGTATGTTGTATGTTTATGGACAGTTTATTTATGTAACGCGACAAACATTACACTAGTAAAGAGCCACGTAGAAGCTTTATATATTACACATGCGTACTACGCTTACACATGTACTAGACTTATCGACAAAGACTAGCATTATTTTCTTTCAGTCAAGTCTACCCCCCCCCCCCCCCTCACTCAGGCTAAGAACCAATTACCTGTCGTGCTAATCCAGCGTTTTTCTGTCTTTTTATGGTTATGACCTTAGTTATAAGCCTAAGTCATATTCCCCCTGTAGTGTTTATGTATTACTTAATTGGAGGTGTTTATTTCCTTACTAGTACAATGGTCTACTGTCCTTAAAAGTTGAACGCGATACAGACTGAGGTTCAAATTTATAATTGTCTTTATTTCTTTTTTCAACTTTACATTACATACACTGGGGTTACACAAACTGGGGTTCAGATTTTATAATTGTCTTTAGAACAATTGTTGTCAACAATATCTAGACTCCATAAAAGCCCCCCCCCCCCCCCTCTTTCCTCAACCATAGACAGGTTCAAATTTTCGACAGTGGTTGCGGTCTACAGACAATGAGACATGTCACTTTCGCGTCAAAGCATTTCCTGAATCAGCGACTGCCCTGCCCCCCCCCCCCACCCCACTTTACTGCCGCTTATTTTAAACGTAACATTTTATAGCGGCAACCTCGTAATGCTAAGTACATATTGTGTTCAATAAGCTCCATTTTTTTTTTGCACGGCTAAGTCAATATTTTCCTTGTGCGGAAAAAACCCACTCCCTAATGTTTAAAACCCATTTCTCCACGTTGAAATGTGATCTACCAGCTAATGCATTATTGCGTGTATTATCGTCTTTAATTGTATTGATCTAGACAGCCGTGAAAGGTCGTAAAACAGAAACTAACTACAAGATTTTATACTTAAGTATTGACGGGATTCTAAAGGGGTACTTGAGGAAAGTGGCAGGTTTCCTATACGAACGTAATTACTAGTATACTCAAACGGTTTTATCATTTGTCGTAATTTGCATGAGGTGGGTGTGGTGATGTGTGTGGCACCTGCTTTAGAGTGTGTGTGTGCCATGTGATGAGTTAAATCGTGGTGGTGTGTGGGTGGGGGGGGGGGGGTTAAGTGTGACATACCAGATTGTAGATGTTGGGGAAAGGGGGGGGGGGGGGGCAATATGCTTGTTTAATCATGAACTTATCCATTTTTCTTGGTTACATATTTTTTTCAGCAGTTACATTTTTAAAAATTATTCCATGATAGTTATACCAAAAATTTAAATTCTTATAAATGATTGATTATAAAATGTTGTGCATCAATCTTTATCACTGAATAACTTATTTTTAAATTTCTAATTGACAGACTGGATCCAGGATTTCCGAGTGAGAGTCGCCTGAAGCTGTATGAGATGTGTACACCCTGACGTGATCTTGTTACTGGAGCCCAACAGCCTTGTGGTGCACATGGTGAGGCTGTTCCCCACCTCGGAGTCCATGTGCAGTGTTCAAACATTGTCCAACAGAACAGGTCAATCAAACGATGAATGACAGTGGTCAGGCCACTCCCCCTATCTTAGCAGACCCCCTCTGCTCCCCTCCCCCTCATCTGTTAGACCTTCCCTCCTCGTCGCCTTCAGCATCCTCCTCCGGCGCACCTCTGACACCACCTCCTACACCCCCGACGATATTCTCACCCTGCCAGATGACCTTCAGGGAGGCAGTACAGAATGGGGACACCATTGAACTCGAAAGGATTCTGGAGGAGAGGGAGGGAAAAATTAATATAAATTTATACGACACCGAAGGTCAAACAGCTCTACATCATAGTTGCTTCAAAGGCAACCTTGAGCTTGTCAAACTTCTAGTACGTTTTGGTGCAGACGTGCGCCTGGCTAACAGGGACGGTTGGAACCCGCTACACATAGCAGCGTACGGCGGACACAATGATATTTTCCTTTTTTTAATGACGCTCGCAGGCAGGAGATCATAGCAGATAACACACTGTAGGATAGACTTGTCCTGCATATTCCAGTGGTGAAGCCCTCCTCACAATCTCCAAGACTAAGTGATTAGTGTACTGCTGAGTGTCATTCATTCAGACAGGATAACTGTGTTATACATGGGTGTATTGTCATCTGTTCCCGGACGTTCAAGCCAAAATGGACCCTTGACCACCTCAGACATTGCTTGCCCTCCCTTGGTCAGGTCAGGTAAAGTTTAAAGGGCAGAGAAAAAGTTGTTTTGGGCTAAAACTGTTTCTTGTGTTGAATGTAAGGTTTATAAAAAAAAAGTAATATTTTTCTACTTCTCCAAATTAACTGCTACTTCTAGAGTACTTTTAAACTTAAAATACGTACATGAAAAATATATTTGTTTTTGCATTATATATATATATATATATGTATTTTTATTATTCATCTGAATCTGCCAGTTGTTCATTGAACAAAATGTTATAAGTTTGATGCATATAAAGAATGGGTGGATGCTTGGACTTGTACGTGCTTGTGACAAGGATGTAGTGATTACACATACCTCTGTGTAATTTATCACTATTTGAATACTCAGAATGCTGCTAGATTACGTATTTATATGCAGGGCAAAGATTCTGTCTCAAGCTTTATGCTGTTCTATGTAAAACACAATGACTGGTTCTCAAACAAAGTTCCACTATATGTATATATGCACACAATTTTTTTTTTGTATTACCATAAATGTATGTGTAGTCATCAGGAGCACAACCACATTATTGCCATTAGTTATTTTATAAATAATTGAAATATTTATGTACAAAGCTAGTGGTAGATAGTTATTTATTTCTGATGTAGGATTCAAAGTTGAATGCAAGTCTTTTTTTAAAAGTACACTTCCAACTAACCTGAGATTTGTGAATCTAGTTTTCCCCACCCTCTTCTCTCCCCCCCCCCCCCCCATACCCCCCACCACTCCAAGTAGAGGTTATTCAGTGGCCTATAACTTTTTTCCTCTCCCACTCAAAGTCATTCAGTTATGTTTTTTTTCTCCCCATTTTCACAAGTTGACTAGAACTTATGGTTAGACTTTACAAAAAACAACAACTATGAACAGAGCACACAAAGAAAATTAGTAACTTAGAGCATCTTCAAGTATGACACATTTTATCCTACCTTTTGTCTGTCTTCGGCTTAGGGTGTTATTTTATTCTATTCAACTAAAAGAATGTTTCCCCATTACCAACTATTTTTAGTTATGTAACCCTTTTCTCAACTTGTGAAGTGCTCTTTGAGAAGTGTTGGTTTAAGGTTTGAAATCAATATAATGTCATCATTTATGTCTCACATCATTGATTTGTTTAAATTTATTGCTGTTTTAATTTATTTTTACATAAATATATTATTTTTCTAATCTTTATTAAAGAATTTATTTTACAAAAAACCCAAATAATAACTAAAGGTAATAAATACAAATATAATTTAAAAAAAAAAACCCAACTTAAATTGAAATCCAACATATAAGGAGTTTCCTCCCCTTCTTCACATTCCTAGTTGATTTCTTCATCAATCATGTCATGGTGACACAAATATTTCATGTACATCAGAGACTATCCTAACACTGTCATTCAACTGTAAACTTGTAACATGCTGACACTGCAACTTCCTCAACATAGATTGTGCAACTTTATACAAGAACATGACAGCGCAACTTTCTCAACTTAGATTGTACAACTTTATACAAGAACATGACACTTCAACTTCCTCAACATAGAATTTACAACTTTATACAAGAACTTGACAGCGCAACTTCCTCAACACAGAATGTACAACTTTATACAAGAACATGACACTTCAACCTCCTCAACATAGATTGTACAACTTTGTACAAGAACATGACAGTGCAACTTCCTCAACATAGATTGTACAACTTTATACTAGAACATTTCACTTCAACTTCCCCAATATAGAATTTACAACTTTATACAAGAACATGACACTTCAACCTCATCAACACAGAATGTACAACAAACTACACAGTTTTGTATTAGCTGGTACCAACACACTACACACAGTTTTGTACAGACTTCTAACACAATCTCTCTTCTCCAAACTCCAACTACTTTGTTTATTTTTGTTTGCAACATAGTGTTGTATACTCCTTATAAAATTAGTGTCATACTATATTGAAATAATTCTGCCACTATCTTAGCGGTTTACTGTAGACTACCTCCTTGTCAAGTTTTTCTAAATCAAAACTGGTACAACTTAGGATTTAACCTGTACCAGGAATTTAGAAAAGGTGTACCTATTTTAACAGACGGCCAGTATTTGCTTTTTGTTTTAACCCGTTTCTTCTTAGTTGACTCTGATTTTTTAACCCACCACTTTACAGGTTAAGAGTTAAAAATAGATGACCCTTTATGAGATTATAAAGAGGAAATTCTACAGCAGTAAGTTTCCCCCTTGAAGTTGTAACCCCTGTCCGTTTAAGATGACCAACACTTAGAGCACTGACCTCGACACTTGAAAAAAAATGGCATTATATTATTTAACAAAACCAGATCACAGAAACGATCTGGCTTATATTCCCTGTATATAACATCTTGTATTCACAGTTACTTTTTTTTTTCATTACTTACATTTGTTTTCTTTTGTGATAAAGTCTGTATTAATGGCAAAGTAGTTTTTATTTTTTAAATTCATTTTTTTCAAATTTTAGAATTTACCCCCCACCCACCCCCACCATTTTACTCCGCACATTGCCCTAGCAGTTCTGGCTAAATCCCGAATTGCCCGGACATTTCACTGGCCCATGTGTTCGTCACTTAGGATGCTGACATACATACCGCCGTTAACCAAGGTGTTTTCAATCCTGTCACTTCAAAAAAAAAAAAGGAAGAAAAAAAACTTGAAAGGTACTCCTATTAATAAACTATGACATTTAAGAAGAGTTTCTGCTGGCGAAGATCACACAGAGAGCCCCATGCTTCGGCGCTTGGGTTCCGTTAACTCAAATGGGAGGGGAGGGGGGAGCTGGTATGACCTTTAACGCAGACTGTCAGTGCACCCTGCGAACTCGTGGATAGTTGGCGGGCTTCCATGTTGCAGGGTTGTCAACACGGCGGTGTAACGTTGCCTCACAGGTTGGTCCTGAGGCACAGGTATTGTGTGTCCTGTAGCACAGGTATTGTGTGTCCTGAGGCACAGGTATTGTGTGTCCTGAGGTACTGGTATTGTGTGTCCTGTAGCACAGGTATTGTGTGTCCTGAGGCACAGGTATTGTGTGTCCTGAGGTACTGGTATTGTGTGTCCTGTAGCACAGGTATTGTGTGTCCTGAGGCAAAGGTACTGTTTGTCCTGTAGAACAGTATTTGTCCTGTAGCACAGGTATTGTGTGTCCTGTAGAACAGGTATTGTGTGTCCTGTAGCACAGGTATTTGTGTGTCCTGCAGCACAGGTATTGTGTGTCCTGTAGCACAGGTATTGTGTGTCCTGTAGCACAGGTACTGTTTGTCCTGTAGAACAGTATTTGTCCTGTAGCACAGGTATTGTGTCTTGAGGCAAAGGTATTGTGTGTCCTGTATCACAGGTATTTTGTGTCCTGTAGAACAGGTATTTGTCCTATAGCGCAGGTACTGTTTGTCCTGTAGCACATGTATTTGAAGCACATGTATTGTGTGTATTTTTCATGTTGCAAAGGTATTGTGTGTCCTTTTGCACGGGTATTTGAAGCACGTGTATTTGTCCTGTTGCACATGTACTTGTGCCCCGTAGCACAGGTTAATCCCCTGTAGCACTGCACATGTAGGCCTATATGCTTGTCCTCCCATACAGATACACGTCTGTCCTAGTTCTCGGGTGTTTATCTCTTCCACACACGTATGTTCTGCTCCATCTTCAACTCATGTCGTCTCGAGTACCATCCCCCTTCCCACCCTCCCCGCAAGTATAGTATTGTCATGTCTACGACGCCCCTAAAACGTACTTCATCGTTAAACTATGCTTTAACTACTCGGTAACAATAACTACACTACTAAAGTGTTGGTGTTGCTCTTAATACTAGAGCAGTACCTCCCTAACATTAGAGAAGTTACGGTAACTCTCTCATAGAGCGAAGTTACTAATTTTTTGTTTGTTTTAATTTGCCACTTTTTTTTTGGACTTGTGAAATGTATACCAGTTGATGCTGGTCCTAATGTAGAAGAATACAATGTGATATTATCAATAGCAAGAACACTTGAAATCCAATGACTTTTATATTATTATTATTATTATCATTATAATTATTATTGTTATTGTTATTCTATTGTACAGAATTATTGATGACTTACTACTGAAGTAAAAATTGTAAATATCTCCAACCGGATTTTGTCTTGTTGCTTGATGGTTTGTTTGTGTCTATTTTGAGTTAAGTTTCTTTAAAAATTTGGCAGGAAATTGCAAGAAAACAAAATATCCTAAAAGATTGAGAGAAGAGGTGTGATAATGATCGTATCTTTCGGTATCGCAGATCTTCCAAACCTAGTCTAGGTAAAGATCATCTGGCAAAAAAAATATTGAAGTAAAAATCTTCCATTATTCGAGTGAAGATCTTCTAGTATCCTAGTAAAGATCTTCTCATGCTACCAGTGTTTGATTCCACATCCTCTATCCCTCCTTTCAGTGTTTGAGTAAAGACAATCTAGCCATACTTCCAGAATCTGAGTAAAGATCCTCAAAGTAGATGGGTCTACAGTATTAAAAAAAAATATTTTAATAAAATATGTATGCTTAAAGTAATTAAATTGAGCCGCATAAAAATTGTTTCTCTGAAGTTGTTTTAATGCAAATAGCAAAGTTCCCTTTCGAACATGATTGTCCGTGGTGCAACTGAAGTAGAGTTCACCTGTTTCTGTGACCTCGGCATATGAAGGGATAGTGTGGTCAACCACCTTTACTTTTCCTAACGTGCGTTAGGTACCCGTTAGAGCTGGGTTGACTCAGGCGCGTTTTATGTACTTGAACCCGGATTCGAGACTTTCGGGTTAGTATTCGTGTGCTCTACCATTCGACTACTACGTCTCATTGTTATAATGGTGGCAACTGCACTTTTTAAAAAATTCTAACATTTTGTCCACTGTGTTCTTTTAATCAGTTCAATTAAATGCAAAATTAAGTTTTTCGTTTTCCTACAACTCTTTCATTACATGATACGGGGGAGGGGGGGGGGGTATCCATTTTTTCCCCGTCCATTTTAAAATTCAAACGGGTTTGTTTTTTTAAATGTTAGAAACAAATTAACTTTAGACATTGCAAGTTTGTTGCCTTGGTCCAATGACGAAATGACGCGGCATAGAAGGAGAGATAGAGAACTGAACACGACGGCAGATAACATAACACCACTTTCTAATGATGTTGTCTGGTTTTATTTTGAATTCGTCTCGGTTCAGTGTAAGATCTAGGATTGTTTCAGTGCTGGGTTAGGGTTATTAAAACACCAGCACAAACCTAACCATGAGTTATTACACCACGCATCAAACCTTGTTGGGCCTCTACAAGGACAGTGGGGTAGCGCAGAAGGCCTCGCCGTTTCATCTCGCCAGCCATCTTTCCTCGCCATTTGAACCAAGTCAAGCGTGACGTGACGTCTTAAGCCCATGGGCCCCCACACAACCCGCCATCAATAGCCCCTATTCACCCAGCGACGTACAACTATTAATGAATTATCCTGAGCCCACCCCACTAACGTATTCACGTTGGAAAACTTCAACATTTGTATGTATACATATATCTGTAAGGCTCTTTGAGTTCAGCTCGCTAAACTCGAGGCTGAATGGGTTTGTAAAATATTTGCTGGCCTATTTCTTGCACCCGAATTTTTGTGTATTCGTCCGTAGCAGAGAAGTGTCGACTGCTGTTTTGGGGAACATTAAGATAACATTTTTAAAAAGGGGTGTATTT